GCGCTGCAATAAAGAGAATGCCTGCTGCTAAATACTACATTGGTGTTGAGGAGTCTTATTCCCAGATCCGGTAATACATGTAACACAGAGTACGAATGTGGATCTCTACTAACAGAAAATCTCCTTCATGGGTTTCTCTGTCTACCAGACCTTTTGTCTCCCCAGTTTCGGTTTGCCAGGACCTTGGTCTTCCTAGTGTCTGATATCCAGAGTCCCAGTCTGTCCAGTAGCTGGACTTCGGTCTTATGGGCTCTCCAGTATCGCTCTCTGACACCAGTCTCTCCAATTTTTGGCCCATAAACTTCTGTAATTCTGGAATCTGGCTTTCAGGCCGCTTGTGCTACTCAATAGCTTTATGCTCATTACCAAATTGATCACACATATGCACATGCACACATAAAAGGGAAAAGTTTGAGGCAGGACATAGAAAGGAAAACAGCTGAATAAAAAGGTGGGACAGATTGTTGTAACCAGGTTCAGTGGTTGGCCAGACGGCCAACAGCCTGAACCTATTGACCGACAGCCTGCTTGTGCAAGACCAGTCCCTTTTATCTCCTTTTCTCTTCATTTTCCTGGGCTTGATATCTTTCTTTACCTTCCTTTGGCCTTTTCCCTAAAAAACCTATAACATCTCCAATTCTTTTGCTTAATCCAAATTTTTCACTGCACCCCTAGACTTCCTACAGTAAATTCTATACTACTTTGCACACACGTCTCTTTTAGTTTGCATAGCACTTGGGAGAGTTTAGTCTGTTGAATCACCTTAGTCGGTTTCTGTACCAGTGACAACGGCTCAGTCATTCCCCTTTGATGGTCTTAGGCGTGATGATTCGGATGGCTCAGGTTGCCAGCATTCTCCACCCTGTCGTTGTTCCTCTGATTAGTGTCTGTGTCCATTTTGAACAGTCATTAGCCAGATATCCTTATGGTGTGCCCATCAGTTCCAGTCTAGCATAGCTTATCCTTGCATTTGGAGAGAACCGATGAATCTGGAGAGCTCAGAGATACCAACTTTTTCACAGAGAGCTTTTTTCAGTGCTCTTTTCACTTCCACGTTCCTCAGACAGTAAATGGAGGGGTTTAGGATGGGAGTGACAATAGTACACACAGCTGACACAAGCTTATTCAAGTCAAAAGGGTAGACCTTCTTGGGCTGGGTATACATGAAGAGGGTGGCTGAGAAGAAAATGGTGATCACAGTTAGGTGGGAAGAACACATGGAGAAGGCTTTCTCCTTACTCTGGGTATTGGGGATCTGCAGGATTGTCATCATAATTAATAGGTAGGAGACAATAGTGATGAAGAGGGGAACAAGCAGTGTGAATAAGATCAACACAAAGTCCGCAGTGCCATATCAGTGCAGGTAAGGTTCAGCACAGGGCTAATATCACAGAAAAATTGGCTGGTAGCATGGCAATCACAAAACTTAACTGAGAGATGAAGGAAATCTTGATCAAAGACACAGGGAACCCACTGAACCAGGAGACAACTACCAGGTATATGCACATTTGGTATGTCATCATGACCGGGTAGCGCAATGGTTGACAGATGGCCACATAGCAATTGTATGCCGTTGCAGAGAGGACGCACTCGGTGCACATGAAGGAGCTGAAGAAGTTGGGTCATGCAGCCCACAATTCCACCCTTGCTCCTTCACTTAGGGCAATATCGTTATCAACTTCTGTTATCTTAGGCAATCCGAATAACCATATCAAAGCGAGTGTTAAAATATTTTTTCCTGGAAAGAATAGTAATGACAAGAAATGGATCAAAACAATATCCTGTTTCTGTCTTTCTGTTGCAATCCCTGCCCTGCTATCTCTCTCTTCTCTGGGCTCTCACATTGCTCTCTTTTGTATATCTTCCCTCTCTTTC